ATGACGCGCCACCCACCCTTAGCCAACATAGCCACATTCACTTCTCTTGTCGACCTGATCCCCAGACCCCCATTCCGTTTTGGTAACAACAAACGTTCCCAGGGTACCAGGTGGAGCTTTTTCTTCTCCTCGGTATCCCCCCAGATGAAGCTCCTATTGATCCGATCCAGAGACCTGCAAACATTCATTGGGAGCATTTCTGTTTGCCTAGGGTAAATCGGGATAGAGGCCGAAATGGACTTAACCACAGTGATCCGGGCGGCGAGAGAGAGATGTTTGGTCTTCTAGGGGGCTAGTTTCCGTTGGATCCGCAGCATGAGGTCTTGGTATCTGGTTTTGGTGACTCGACCATGAATCTCCATCACTCCAAGGTAGCGTCCCAGATCCACAGTGAGAGGGATGCCTGCCCGCTGTGACAATCTTCTCGCTTTTCCGCCTGTCAATGTTTGCCGAGACAAAAATTGCTGATTTCTCATAGTTAACTCGCTGCCCGGAGCTATGGCAAAACACATCCAGACATCTTTTGATTATCCGCACCTGAGCCCCATCTGCTTCTGCAAAAAGAATAAGATCATCTGCAAAAAACAGGTGAGAAATCAAAGGCCCCCCTCTAGAAAGACTCAAAGGTTTCCAAAGTTTTTCCTGAATAGCTTGATCAATCCTGTGAGAGAGCCTTTCCATGCACAAAACGAAAAGATAAGGGGAAAGGGGGTCTCCCTGGCGGACTCCCCTGGTAGGGGTGATCGGATCCGAGAGTTCCCCATTCCAAAGCAGTCACATTTTTTTATTCTCCACACAAAACATGATGCAATTGATCCACGAACTAGGCAACCCCACTTCCTTCAAAGTATCCCGGAGAAAATCCCATCTCAGCCTGTCATAAGCTTTCTCGAGGTCAATCTTAAGCAAAATGCCTCCTCTCTTGCCTTTCTTCTTCCTAAGAGAGTGAAGAACCTCCTGCAACACAATAATATTATCAGAGGTTTGTCTTCCCGGGATAAAACTGCTCTGCCGCGGCGAAACAATCTTCCTCATGATCGGCTTCAGGCGGTTGGTGATAGCCTTCGTGATTGCTTTTGAGCACACGTTGTTAAGAGAGATCGGTCGAAGCTGAGAAACCCTCTCAGGATGATCCACTTTGGGGATGAGCACCACCGTCGATTCTACTACCTTCTCCGGCAGAATTCCTGTAGAGAAAAAAACTAACATCCATATCAATAAGAGCTTTCCCGACGGTTTGCCAAGATTTTTTATAGAAGATGGCCTGAAAGCCATCAAGTCCCGGTGCCTGGAAAGGCTTCATATCCTGCACTGCTCCATGAATATCCTCCCATGTAAAAGGTCGAAGTAAGAGGATGAGATCCTCATGGTCAATCCTCGGGAAAGCTTGCTTAGGCATTTCATCGGTGTACTCCTGGCTATCTTGCAAATACAGAGAAGAGAAGAAATCAAAAACCAAACTCGCAAGCTCATGGGGATCAGATATCCACTCTCCATTGCTGTCTTTGAGGCTCTCAATCTTATTCCTGCGTCGGCGAATATTGGCCTGCTGGTGGAAATAAGCCGTGTTTCGCTCTCCAAACTGGACCCATTTCTCCCTGGCTCGCTGAAACCAGAGAATCTCTTCTTGTTCCAAGACTTTATCAAGCTCCTCCTCAAGTTTAGTTTGAAGCTTGAAGAGACCTAGCGAGAAATTATGAGCCACCTTAGCTTGGATCCCTTGAATACGGCTCATCAATATTCTCTTTCTGCGATAAATGTTCCCAAACGTTGACTGGTTCCATTGAGACAGTTTGCTGGCCATGTCTTGGATAGCTTCCTGCAGGGGTGCCTGAGAGTCCCAATTACTAGATAGGAAAGTATCATAAGATTCATGAGTTAACCAAGCTCTTTCAAATTTAAAGGGTCGAGAATAGGAAGAAGGGTGAACTCCCTGGTTTCCAAGAGACGTCAGGATCGGATGGTGGTCAGAATGAAGCCGGGGGAGGTGGGTGACAGTAGAACTGGAGAAAATTGAGTTCCAGGTTGCAATGCAGAGGCTCCGATCGATCCGACTCGCCTTATAGGAGCTGGGAGTGTCCCCCCGGTCCAAGTGAAACGAGAGCCGGAAAAGACCAAATCAATGAGCTCGGCCTGGCTAATCCTGTTGCTGAAACGTTTACAACGCCGATAGATGGAAGGAGTGGCTGGCCCTGCCTGTTCTGTTGGGTCCTTGATAGCGTTGAAATCTCTCGTTAAGAGCCAGGGGAGCTCGATCTCTTCGCGGAGCCGAAAGATAGACTGCCAGAGATGATGCTGCAAGCTTTGTCTGGGACTTGTATAGATGGCTGTCAAGCACCAAGGCTACGCTGAGGGCGGCGAAATCTTCACGGTGAGGTGCTGAAAACAGGTCGAAAGCACTTATACCTTGATAAACTGAGCATTCCAGCAGAGCCAAATTCCCCCTTTCCTTCCATCAGCTTCGACCCTCAATACATTTGGGAAACCCAGCTTTCCACAGATGCGATCCACCACCTCCCCACTAATTTGAGGCTCCAACAAGATCAAGAAATCAGGTTTGTGATGGTGCACAATCAACTTCAGAGCTCGGGAGAAAGTAGCATTGCCAGCTCCTCCTACATTCCAAGACAAAATTTTAGTATTTAAATTGTATAAAGCAGACATAAGATAATTAAAATAAAAACAGGGGAGAGGAGAAGGTAAAGAGGGGAAGACGAAAAAGAGCAATCGGAAGGGAAGAGCGCTCAATCAAGCTGGGACTGCAGTCTCCAAAGACGGGGTCGTCTTCATGCTACTCTCCACTTCCAGAGCTTGGGGTGTGCTTGTCTCTGCTGAAGCCGCCTTTGCGGCTCCCGTCCACGCCTCTATCTCTTGCAGGGTGAGAGAGGCCATTCGAGTTCTAGCCTTGTTCTTCTTCTCCTTAACCGGCGTCCAGACTTGCAGTGCTTTGGTCGTGATCGGCACCGATGTCTTCCTAGGGGATTTTGATTTCTTTTTCTTGTGACCTTTCTGATTTTTTGTCCAAACCGCCGCCGACGGGGAGTCTTTCTCCCGCTCTGCTGCTTGCTGTGCCTCATATGGCGAGACTGCCACTATCTGGATGGAGGTATTGTTGGGGCCCTTGACTGTCTGAGTAGGCGGTGGGCTGGAACAAGACGGCCCATACCCTTTTCGCGGGCCTAATCCTTCAGCAGCTAGAAGAGGCCCATTCTCTTTGTCTAGGCTTGTTGAGCCTACCTCCCACTGCTTCCTAGTATCCAAGGCAGACTTGTTGGGCCCAGAGATCACACTCCGTTGTCCTGATGGGATTGGGCCCAAAACTCCTATGCCGCCTGTCGCCACTCCAACGGTGGCTTTACCCGCAATTTCTTTCCCTTTTTGTAGCCCCCCATCATTGGATTTTCCTTTCTCCAGCCTACTTGCTTGAGATTTTCCGTCCGTTGGCTCTGAGTATCTCTATTCCCTCCCTTGCTTCCAGAGACACCTTCCACATTTTTATGATTAGACTTTCCTTTCTCAGAATTTCCACCAACCACCAAATCTCCTTGATTGACGTCTAAATTTCCTTTCTCATGCACCCGTGTTCCCCGCCGTGATCGTCGTGTGACCTGCATCCAAGGTCCAAAGCCATCCTTATCCTCCGGCGACTCCTCCGAGCACTTTTCCGGCGAGGTCGCAGCCGTACCGACTCCGATCGAAAGTGTCGGCTCACACAGCGAAGGACAGGTGGCTGTCGTGTGCCCAACCTTTCCGCATTCAAAACACACCTTTGGCAAATTCTCATACTCTATGTACTGCCATTTTCCGTCAAGCCGAATGCGGGTTACCAGCGGTTTAGATAGGTCGAGTTCGACAGCCATCCGTGCAAATTTGACGCGTTGTTGATGTTGTGTGTGAAAGTCCAGCTTGATTTTCCGCCCTATCATGTTCCCCAAATAGAAAAGGATCTCTTGATGATAAAAATGAACTGGGAAGGCTGGTAACTGGATCCAGACCACCATCTTTTTCGGCAGTTCATCGAACAGGCGAAAAGACGGCGTCCATTGGAAGACTATACAGTAATGGTCGAAAATGGTCCAGGGTCCCTCAGTTAAAGCTTGAAAGTAGTCTGCATCGTTGTCGAGTTTTACAAGGAAGCACTCCTGTCCCAGTGCCATGATATCGATCGATCCTGTTGGGCGCCACAGAGCCTTAATTTTATTACAGAACGTAAGGAAGGAGATGCTCAAGCCCATTGTACGCACCATAAGAGTACGCTTCCATTGTGTGCACAGCTTTTCCTTGAATGCATTAGAAACTTTCAGCTCTGGCTCTCCATTGAACGTCCCTAGTATCAAATCATGTTCCCCCACTGGCGTCCAAGAGCTTTTTGGTTTGTTGTTCTCCAGAATCTGTCCTGTAACGATCTTCGAAGAGGTGTGATATGATATATAATACCAATTATGTTGTGATTAATATCATCAATGTACTTTATCACATTAGATTTGTGATTAAATTCATCAAAATAAAGTTTGTCTCGATAATGAAATACTTTAAATTATAGTGTAGAACCCATAGATTGTGGGTTTGAACTGTATTAATGATTATTTATATGTTTGGTTGTTTTTAACTACATTGACACTTAAAAATAAAAGAACAAGATAAAATAATAAAATGACATTGAAAAATGGCTGACGTGTATGTTTAAGAATTGAGAAAATTTAAGATGAAGAATTTTAATTTGAGAAGAAGTTTATTATAATATATTATATTGATGGTTATTGTTGTTGCTTGCTATAAGGAATTTCTTAATTTTTTTAATTTTTATATATATCCAAAATTAAGAAAGCCTCGATTATCATAAGTACTGGTCTATCTCGTTTGATTCAAGACATACTGTCATACCGGGGTGCTCAATTAGTACGATATTGTTCGCTTTGGGCAAAGCCCGCACGATTTTACTATTGGGTTTCCTCCCCAAAAGACCTCGTACTAATGAGCTTGGTGGAAACTAATATACGAGGATCCCTTACCTTGTATTACCGATGTGGTTACTTGGATTGTCCCATAACAATCCTCCCCTTAAGACAAGGACCACGAACTTAGTGTCCTCCCCTCAGCGATTATCTTGATCCGCCAGACACCTTGTATCGATGGGCTTCTCGTTACAAGGATTTTCCCAGACGCGGAACTCTCTTTGATCAGCCAAACAAACGTGGATCTCTCCTAGATCCCCCAGATAGACGCAGACCTACCTTGATCCGCCAAACCATATGTAGCCCCTCATTACAAGGATTTTCCCAGACGCGGAACTCTCTTTGTTCCGCCAAACAAACGTGGATCTCTCCTAGATCCCCCAGACAGACGCAGACCTACCTTGATCCGCCAAACCAGATGTAGCCCCTCGTTACAAGGATTTTCCCAGACGCGGAACTCTCTTTGATCCGTCAAACAAACGTGGATCTCTCCTGGATCCACCAAACAGCCCAGACGCAGAACTCTCTTTGATCTGCCAAACAGACGCGGATCGCAAATCCTGAGGCCACCAAATGAGGGTCGCACCAAACTGACGTCCACCGCCCCGAACCGAACCAGACTCTTATACCACTTGCCGAAACCGGGGTGCTCAATTAGTACGATATTGTCCGCTTTGGGCCAAGCCCGCACGGTTTTACTCTTGGGTATCCTCCCCAAAACGCCTCGTACTAATGAGCTTGGTGGACACTAATATACAAGGGTCCCTTCCCTTGTATTACCGATATGGTACTTGGATTGTCCCATAACACATACAATTTGGTCAGGACTCAGGAACATATGATAACTAGTATTAATGTATTTACTCATTACAACAATAAGATCTGAACCACAAATGTGTTGTATTGTACGTGACGATAGGGCTGACCATTTGGACCGGGACAGGATAAAAAACCGGAAATCGGACCGCATAACCCGGACCGTTTAAGACCGAGACCGGATGTAAAACAATCCAATCCCGTCTTTGGTTTTAGAATTAGCAAAAAACCCGGACCAATCCAGTCCGGGTCAAAACCGTGTAAAAACCGGAAGACCGGATTAATAAAAACAGACCAGACCCAAAAGACAAAGCCCATATGGGCCAAGACAAGCCCACTCTCACTACCCCCAGCGGCCCAAGCCGGCCCAGTCCATCTCGGGTTGCAGGAAGCCTCGCTCGGCCTCTCGCTAGTCGCCCTCTCCATCGTTCGCAGTTGCAGGCCAAGTACTCGCCAACCATCACTTCTCCCATCCCAACTTCGCACAGCAGCCGCCGCCGACCCAAACCCTAAATCGACCGCAATTGCCAGCGAGTGCTCCTCCGCGAGACCGCGACCAGCCGACCACCTCTGCTCCGATTCTCCTCCGCGCGAAGCAACGCCTGCCTCATCCACCCCGATTCCCGACCCGCGAAGCCGGCCTCAGCAGTCGCCTCTGACCCAGCAATGCGGCGAGTCGACGCCGACCTCGACTCTGACCCAGCAAAGCAACGCCGGCCTCGGCTTTGTCCCAGTGATGCGACGCAGGCCTCCCCTCCAAGCCTCCGACCCAACGAGGCAGTGCTCGCAACCACCAAAGTCCGCAGCTCGTCGCCCTCCGTCCAATCTCGTCGCCCTCTGTCCAGAGTCTATAGCTCGTCGTCGCCCTCCGTCCAATCTCGTCGCCCTCCGTCCAATCTCGTCGCCCTCCGTCGAGATTGTTTGGGTCAAAACAGAGTCTATATGCTGCTGAATTTTCTGCAACATGGTCAAAATGGGTCAAAACAGGTCAAAACCGGATTGGGACCGTACTGGGTCAAAACCGGACCGGGTTAAAACCGGACTGTACCCAATCCAAGCTTTGGTCCCTATATTTTCAAAAAGACCGGACTGGACCGGATCAATTCGGGCCAATTTAACCGGATCGGACCGTATAGCCACCCCTACGTGACGATTGATTTATACGATTAACGGTCCAAAATCTGTTCCTAGAAGTAAGGCTCACTCTGCATACACAACCATTTGCATATCCTCTTCACCACACGCAACAATTACGTAACCACTGTTATCGACGGCAAATACCCTAATACTACACAAAAGCTACTTATACAATCGAATTTAAATCATGAATCCCGGTAGTTAGAAAACCAAAGCATTTACCATTCACTCACAACATTATCAGAACAAGGATTTGATTTAATTAGTTGCACGCATGGCTCTTGGAATATAATTTATTCACAATTTTTTTATATCCAAATTCTAGTAAATCAAACAACATAATTGGCTGGTTCATTCCTGTCCAATTTATCCCCATCCTTGTCACCTTCCTGCATGAGAGATTTCACCAATATATATTTTCCCCTCCAACACACTCCCCCTCTCCCCCCGTATCAGATTGTTAACATCGAACCATAAGTTCCACACCAAAGCAAAACACCACACACCAAATAACATCTCTTCTCATTGGATCACAACAATAATTAGCCCTCTACTTTCCAACCAGCTTGGAGGAGAGATCGATCGAGCAAAACAACAACAACAACTCATTGTCCAATGGAGAGGTCCGGAGTTGGAACAGGAGCAGGAGGAGAACCCAACACCAACAGCAAAAGCAGCAACTTCCAGTTCCCGCCGGGCTTCCGGTTCCACCCTTCCGACGAGGAGCTCATCGTCTTCTACCTCCAGAACAAGGTCACCTCCCGCCCCTTACCCGCCGCCATCATCGCCGAGGTCGATCTCTACAAGTACAACCCCTGGGAGCTTCCAAGTACGCGCATCTTTCCCTTTCTTTTTCTGTCTTTTCTTTTTGGTGACAGTAAATGGTCTCTCATAGTAACCGTTTTCTCGTCCCTAAAAGTTACGAAGGTACTTGTAGTGACCGTTCACCCGTCGCTAAAAGCTACAACGGTACTTTTAGTGACCGAGTTTTCGTCGCTAAAAGCTGCAACGGTACTTTTAGTGACCAATTTTTATTTTTACGAAAAGCTACAACGGTACTTGTAGTGACAGTTTTTTCGTCGTTAAAAAGCTATAAGGGTACTTTTGGGTTTGACGTTGAGGGATGTTGGTGTTGTGTTGTGGTTGCAGCGAAGGCGCTGTTCGGGGAGGAGGAGTGGTACTTCTTCAGCCCGAGGGACAGGAAGTATCCGAACGGGGCGAGGCCGAACAGGGCGGCCGGGTCGGGTTTCTGGAAGGCGACGGGCACGGACAAGCCGATACTGTCGACGTCCGGATCGAAGAGCATCGGGGTGAAGAAGGCGCTGGTGTTCTATTCCGGTAGGCCGCCGAAGGGAGTGAAGACCGATTGGATCATGAACGAGTACAGGTTGTTGGATCCAACCATTAAACCTTCGAGGATGAAAGGCTCCATGAGGGTGAGTAGCTAGCTCACACTTGTTTCAACTTGTAGATTGTTAATTATCATTACCTCTACTCTTTTTGTTTTTTTCATATATATGGATGAAAGTATAATTAGCACTTCTACTAATTTTTTTGATAAGTTATCACTATACTAATTGTACATAATACAATCACATTATATGTTCGAACTTTGGGACCAACAATCATTAAAAATAAAAATAAAAAGAGTACATGTATAAATACTATCTAACTTAGTTAATAACTAGAATTCTTTCCATTATGAGGTAATAATTGAATCTGAATATCAAATCTGATTATATCCTAAGTGATTAAAATTAAATGTGGATCTTATAAGTAAGATTTCATGTTCGAATCCTATCAAAGCTCCCTTAAAGGTAGCATATTCACCGTCATTTAAAACTTAATTGCAACTATTGGTTTGCTATAATGGTGGACATAAAAATGATTAGACATATACCATAAAAAAATTCAACCAAATTTAGACCCTTTTGCTTGTAATATTGTTGATTTTATGATCACTCGATTATAAGGAAGAAGAAAACATCATTTTTTTCGTTAATATAACAATTCCGAGACGGTTTGGCTTCAATTTAGACAATAAACTACTAAATCTAGTAAAAAGATGTTCACATTATATTTTGGAGGAAAACCAATTATATAAATAGCATCCCTTTTTGAAATAAGATAAGCTAAAGCACTAATTAAAACAACCTCTACCAAAAGAGAAAGAATAAAAATGAATAGCTTACTACTATCATAAATTCATAATATGTTTTACATTCCCCTTGTGAACGCCTTGTTGAATTATTATCTCTAGGCTTTGCATGATATGTGCCTTAATTACCTGCCTACCAACCTTCCTTCCTTCCTTTCATATGCAATAGAACACACCATCTAGCATCTTTATCCGATTTAGCAATTTTCCAATAGTGACAAATTTAATGCATTCTTAATTCATATGCCAAATCCATCCTTTGACCACTTTCCTCGTCTTTTCTTGTTTTTGGCTTTGTTCCTAATTAACATCTCCTAACCTTGTTTTTCTTGTATTAATTTTGTGTATTGGCAGCTGGACGACTGGGTGCTGTGTCGAGTTCGACAGAAGGGTGCCATTACCAAGAACCCATTCGACCTCCAACTCGCCGGAGGCAGCCCTGTGAAGGAAACAGTCCGGTTCCTGCCAATGTCGTCGGAACAAGACCTAAACCCGCGCCCTTCTCCTCCGCCGTCTTACATGAACTGCGACAACGACATGATACGAGACTGTCTCAACCAGGACTGCCGCGTCCTGGCCTCCCTCCTCGTCGGCCAGACCTTGCCCTCCATCGACGCTACAACTGCGAATAATAATAATGCTCATAGTACCATTAATCCCACCAGTAACAACAACAACAACAACACCACTGACTTCATCGGGGCAAGCTCTCCGATAACAGTAGCAGTCTCTTCCTACGACAACTACATGACCACCACCAGCCCGACGATGAAGAGGAAGCTTAGCGACGATGGGGAGACGTTGATCAACGACTTCCTATCCTCGCCAGCGCTCAAGAAGTCGAACAACAATAACAACGATGTAAACCAGCAGCAGTCTCATGATCAGGAAGATGGCAGTGGTGGATTCTACAGCGAGGACGCGATGGACCCCATGATCGGGTTCCTGGAGCTGAACGAGTTCGGCTTCTCTGGTAAGTATGATCTGGAGTGAATCTTGCAGCTGCATGCAAGACAATGTGTGTACAGACTACAGAGGGGATGGAAATGCAGGCAGGCATATCCACCAGCAGGTTCATGGAGAAACGAGGGGAGCAGTAATCGATCAACTGATCAAGAAAATATGGCATTCTATTTATTTGTTCCCATCCCAAAACCGAATTTTGATATAATGCTACACTTACAATCCAATACATCTAGCTAATTGTGTTTCTGTGTCGCGCTGCAACAATCGAGTTACTCTTTCTGTGATCAAGAGTTGCATTAGTACTATATGTGAACACCATGCATACACGTTTCTATCTTGATGATATACAGTAAAAGCAAACATCATATCTTGCAGTTACAATACTCTTGCTTGCTTCGATCGTCCATTTGACGCGAACTGATGAAGAAGAGACTCCGTTGAAAAGGGATGGGACAGATAAGGATCAAAGGAACAGTACAATAATATATTACCAGTACCAGTGAACTTTAGAAACCATTTGAGTTTGCCTGATCGAGAGCTTGTAATCAATGCAAGACTATATATAATTTAAATAATCCAAACCGATGCTCGTGTTACAAGAGTCTCCAGAAGCGATTCAGCCCTGCAATATACTGCAACAAGTACAGAACAAGTATGTGTTAGCTAGCTAGGCAGCTTAGCAGATGAAATACAGCAAGCAACAGCAGGAGGAAATATGTTAAAGAGTTCAAATACAATACACAGACGTACTTGTATATGTAAGAAGCGATCCCCAGGATTACGCATAGCAGAATAATATCGATGCAGAAGTTGCGACTTGATCTCAGCTGGAGAAAGAGGGAACAAGATTAATGCTGGTTTGATGAAAACATCATGCATGCTCAAAGATTTAGTTATGATAATAGCTGCTGTGGAAGGTAAAAACAAAAGGCAAGAAAGATCAAATTACCGAAGTTATAGTTTGCTTCAGCCTCACATTCGTATTCCTCAGCTCAGAATTTGCTCTGTCTACCTGCAAATTACAGAAGCCATCGACAAGAGAATGCGTTTTAGTCTATTCCTGACGGTAATTGAAGTAAATGAACAGAGAAGCTGGAGGACATAGAAGCTCTTACCTTTGTGTCAATCTCGTCCATTAAGGGAACTTGTCTGTCCAATTCCTGCATATATAAGATAGACCGTATAAAATAAAAGATCACTCAGTCTATATATCCTTTGAGTTGTTCACGATTAGCATAAACAGCAGCAAAAGAAAAGGGATAAACTAAGGGTAGTATTGTCAGCTGATGAACTAACCTCGCCCATATCATGTGCAAGATTTTTTAGCGTGTCCAGTCCATCCGATATAACATCAAGACCTTCATCCTGTTCAAAATGACTAGTTAGTTAAAACGGTCTTGGAGATCACTAGCTTGCTACCACAATCTGTAGGGCGTCCATTTCAATTATGCATGGAAGGATCGATATACCAAAACTGCAAAGGAATAAATCCTACTTGCCTGTTTCAGTTTTCGCCTTTCATGCTCTTGTCTGAACTGACTAGATTCCTCAGACTGTTGGAAGAAGTCATCATTGAGATTTTCTTCTGTTGTATTGGAACCACTAAGATAATAAGTACATAGAGCATTATAATTATCTTGGCCTCCAAACCTGAAAACTGTATCAAAACGATCATACATCACCTGAAGTATCGAAAGTGATGTTCTTATGAGATGCAGAACCACCCCATCCTCCACCCTGGTCTGCCCCCGTCGTGGTTCCATCTGGTATGGCCTGAATCCTCTCCGGCAGCGCGAGAACTAGATCAGCACGAATCGCCTGCTCTTCCTTGGACAGCCCTTTCACCTGTTTTAGAAGCCCATAGCAGGGCATTAAATGAAATCTCTCAGCCCGCATGCATGTGATTAGTCTGAGCTTTCATTTATACAGACAAGATTCTTGTGGGGCAATCAACAGAGAAGAAAGAACACTCGTGTAGGTTAGGGCCAAGATATTCTCATCATTTGTCTTCTTCTACAAAATCATGTCTATACAAAATATATTTTTTGCATGCTTTCTTTTGTCTTTCCCCAACACTTTGGGGAGAAAAGAGTCTAGTGTTGTGTAAGTTAGTCCCTTCTGGGTTGCCTTGGCTACGTATAATGTATTCTTAATAAGGAAAATCAGACCCCTCCAAATTACCTGACTACTGATCCCTAATCTGACTTGTTATCCACCTTGGCATATCCAGAAGCAGCATCGAAGTGCCATTATTATGCCAACAGGACAGATAAAGAAAGACACCAACATATAAAAAAACCATTTCACTAAGAGGAATTCATCTCATTATCACTGATAAACTAAACACTGATAAACTAAACAACCCATCTTCTAACGAGATGATAATGAACAAACTTCAGAACCCAGCAAGTCATAGTTTCAAGACTAATAGTCTCATTCGTTGTTTGTATTGAAACATAATAAAAATATTGACAAGGCAAACTGGTGGCATATGGAATTAGTGAGCGAGATAACCTTCTTGCGAGCCAACTTCTGGAGCTTGGTGACTTCATCCATCAACCGAGCCTTGGTCTTGCGATTCTCTGCATTCAGAGCAGCTGTAACAGCCCTTTTGCTCTCCTTTGCTGCCCTGTCCGCTTTCTGCAGCCATCACCATCAGCACCACCATAAATCTTCTGGGATCAGATACAGATACATACATGATACAGATGTCTACAAAATCAATAACCATGCAGAACACTTTCCCCATTCATGTCTTTTGGGTTTTTTGGCATCAGATCAATTGCGTTACTGTTGAATGTTCGTGCATTCAACGATTCAAATTGAGCACAGGACGACGATCCAACAATGTCTGCCCGCGCAAAAGCCTAATCTGTGGAGTTTGTGGCTCGCCAATAAATGACCAACGAAAAGCATCCAAGACCCAAACCTTTTTCCGTACCAAATCATCTCAAGAGGGAAAATTTCGATAAACTAGAGGGGGAAAAAACAGAGCAAAATTGGGGGGAAATGAGGCAGGGGAAAGGGAGCGTACGCCCATTGCGGCGTCGATATCAGCCTCGACGGTGGCGTAGAGGCGGGCGAAGACATCGTCGCCGTAGGCATTGAGCTCCCGCTGCTTCTCGATGTCGTACTTGTCATACCTCTTGCAGATCTCATCGACTCGGAAGATAATGTCGATCACGCTCATCTTTTATCTCCAGCCCTGCTGGCGTGTCGAAATCTCGAAGTTACCTCTCGCCGGTGCACAGAGAATGTGGGGGAAAGAACAAACGGAAAGGGAAACCCGCGACAGAAGAGAGGGAGTTTTTCTTTTGCGTTAGGAGGATCTCTATTTTTGCCATGTTTGCTTGTTTTTCTGAGTGCGATTTCCTCGCTCGAGGGTCTTTTGCTTGCAGTGTTCGCTGGCGGAGCGGGAAGGAGAAGACCACAATTTGCTTGGTAACGGCGACAATGGCGGATGGCGAAAGTATATCTTCCCGCTATTCGTTCGGCAAGTTCGGTGGGTTTGTCGTGGCAAATGTTTTTCTTTTTAGATTTATTTATATATATCCTTCCTACAATACATATATGGAGATTCTTCTCCGCAAGCCACTTCATTCCCTATTTCCAGTCATCTGCGCGGAGAACGGAAGGACCCTTTGGTCTTTTCCTTTAATTTATATGGGCTAGCCTCTAATTAGTTTCACCTACGGCATAAATAAACACAAGTGTAATGGAGCTCTACTTATGCCGGGTGAAATTACTTAATGGACTTAGGCGGGTGAGAGAAATTCTTGGTAAAAGTTTATATAATTGATAATGATAAAATTTTGAAATATATGTTGCAGCTTTACTTTGTTAACTATCAAACTAATAACCAATTTATAATGATTGTTGGATTGTATATATTGAAAACTATTTGAGTATCAAAATAAGCGATTAATTGTATACTTTATGAATTAGATTACTTTATTTTTACCAACGCTCATATTTGCGCACTTAATCCACATATTGATAATTTGTTAGCTTACAAATTGTTTCATGTGTTCTTTCTTTGTCATTGACCCTGCTCTTATACTTTCGTGACATATCTCTATTGAAACGTTGTTGATATTATACAAAACTTAGTATCATTTTCCTACTCACTCCCCAAATGTGTTAATATGTAGTAGAATTTAACCTTTTCAATTAATGTATATTCATGATTGTGGAAGGTTTAAATTGTATTTAAGTGCTACAATTCTTCAGTCTTGCTTCTAATTTCCCTTTTCAAATTTTATTAGGAAATAATATGCATGATTAGATGTGCTAAAATTCTTATATTTTCATCATCAATATTTATTTATTATTAGATAAATAAATGAAATTGGAAATAATTTGGAATTTCAATTTTTTAATTTATCTGTTGCTAACGTGGCAGTGAGCTGGAGCGTTGACCATTAGTCAACAATGTTGACCGTCCAAATTGATGGTCAAAACATGCATCCGCCCAAGCTAAACTATATTGTGTATAGTTGAGGCTAAGATAACAATTTTTAAAACCACTGGCCAAAAGTAGATTATTGGGTATAGTTCGGGCCAATTTAAGGTATTAACTCATATTATTGATAAGCCTATATTTGTCTTGAGGGTAATGATATTTGGGTGCAAATTCCCAAGATGGAAAATTAGGATTTTCAACATATGTTTCTTGATCAAAGAGTTAGACTACCAAGTTTAATTTCATCAAACAATAGAGATTGACAAAAAGTGCGGCCAAATGAAATTTCTTTCATGTTTGAATTACTAATCTCAATTTAAATTTACTTAAATTTGATGTGGATACAACAAAATTAACCTTAAATTTTCATTCCACATATGTTGTTTGCCAACTTTTTCCGTATTTGGGGTATTGATATCTACTTGACTCACAGGATAAGTTACCCGCAAGGGCTTTAACTAAAACTTCCCAAATATGTAGCTCTTTCAACTTTCAATTAAAAATAGCATGTATTACTTAACTCTAATCAGAAATCTAATATACAATTTGGGTCAGTGGCGGATTCAGAAAACTTTCAATTTGAAAAGTTAAATTTAATTATATAATTCATATATTAAAAATATCATACTTGAATAAAATTTTTATTAAAATTCATGATGTGTTTTCATATTTTGAAAAAATAATATATATAAACTTCGTGTTTGCACTGTTCAAAAAAAATCTACATATCCTACTAGACAATACTTCACGAACTTATCACATATTCGATTTCTAACCTTGTTCTTAATGTAGCTCAAAGTAGAAAAGACTCTTTCAACACTTGCCGTGTAACCATAAAATCAATTCAAAATTAAGGGTAGCGTGTACGTAGTTTAATTATTAGGTATTGAAAATAGTTGGGGATAAAGAAATAGCGTTTTATTGTTGCATGATGTTTAAGATAGAATAACAAATGAGTAGCAACATAATTAGAATATGTTTGATAATAGTAGTGTCCTAGGTTGGAATAACACGAACTACCACTTATATTTTGTTAATCATAAGCAAACTATTGTCGAGGGTAGGATAATCATTTTTTCAAATGTTAGGGTGTTCCGGATTACCAATTATATTTTGTATACCCATAAGAAACTACTACCGGAGGTTGGATAATCGTTTCCCCAAATTTTAGGGGTGTCCCGGGACACCCCTATAGGCCCATGTATCCGCCCCTAATTTGGGTACAAGGGATTGGTTAATTATGAAGGTAAATCTATTTGATAGAGTAGTAACCCAATTGAAATGTCATCCTTGCAAATGCGGATTATGCCCTCTCATCCTGGCCATTACATCAATGTATGTCGTTCATACAATGGTAAAGATACATCTTCATTACTTTATTATTAATCCAACCATTTAAAATAAATTAATCACGATTAGTTAAACGACCATCAAATTTGCAGGAGACAAGAGCATTTCTCCTCATATGGAGCAACCTTGATGCTAGCAAATCCAAGAAATACATAAGTCATTAATTTTAGACTAAAGTGAAATTCACGACAATTTACTAAACAAAAAAGAGATTAGTTATCATTTTCTTTTTTTGTAAAAAAGTGACAGAGATGCACCATATTCTCCTGTGAAAGCACAAAAGATCCGAACAGCTAATCCAAATCAAAATGTACAAGAGCTAAATCAATTAAAAATTAATGAGGGAGAAGAGGTAAGTACCTGTTTCAATTAAAAACTCATTACCTATCAAATACTAACACTTTCTGCAATATGTAGCAAAATATGTATTCCATCAAATGCAAAGTTATCAGAGTTAAGAATGGATGGTGTTAAAATGGATGGAAAGTGTGTCCATAAAATTCTAAGAAGAGTGAGACGAGTACTTTTGGGGAAACTCTACGTATACCCACCACATGTTTTGCTTTTGAATGTCAATAATCTAAATTCACAATGCTAATGCATGAGAACAAGAATGAGACTGTTTAACGGATCTGATACTAGAGATGATTATGTGTTGTTGGGAAAAAGGAAGACTTTTTCGCGAGGGAGATATAGGTATGGTGATGGGGAGCAAGAAAATATCATGGATGTAGTTGATTATCCGGACGAAGTGGATTCTACTCCAATAAAATAGATGATTTGTATTTGTCATACATTACCATTAAATTTTTGTGCTAAATGAAGTGCATGAAAACAAAGAAGAGACTATTGAAATCCAAGAGGAAAAAAAGAGGCATTTGGTAATGGAGATAAATGTTTTACAAAGGAGATGTATATATTGTTATTAGTGGAGATGATGATTTTACTCATGGTCGAGAAGACACAAACAAGTCTGAAGAAAACATTCAGTAATCTTGAAAATGAGGAGTAAATAAAATGTTGATTTTCATTTTTTGTATGAGTCGGTTACCTTGCATGAGGTTTGTCTTTCATTTTTTACATAATTTTAGTTTATGCGTCTGTTAGAATGTAGGAAAACACTATAATGTTGATTCTTTTGAATGGTTAAAGACCTATAACAATTTGGATTCTCATATACTACCAATCCATTTGAATAATTTAGATTTTATTATACTACCAAATATACACGTATCTCGCATGCTACTGAACTAACGCGATTGAAGATTGTATTCGGCCAACTAGCCGGGTCCCTGACTAGTATATATATATATGGGAGTTCTACGGTGCTCACTACTCAGGGTGAAATCCGAGGTACCACATACCTTGAGTAAGAAAATGCTATCCACAATTTGAATTGACTGATCTTTCGGATATGATACTATACTCTAATCCTTAATGATCAAAATCTAGGTCTTAATTCTCTAAATCTTATACCCCAAGATCAATTTAATTAGAAACAATAATCGACGGTTATGATTCGTCCAAATATAGGCAAAAAATCAATGCACCATCTTAGGGTTTATAGTTTATGATTTAGATAATTCGAACCTAGGGTTCACTCATTAAGGGGTTATGGTATAGTATCATGCCCAAAAATTCTGCTAATTCGAGGTCTAGATAGCGTTTTCATACTCAAGGTATGCGGTACCCCGGATTTCACCTGGGGCTGGGGTACCGTAGAAGGCACCATATATATATATATATGCACTAAAATAAAATTAGCAACATTATATATGGTTTTCCCCCACTCATACTCGCATCATAATCGTCATTCTGAGCAGGCGATTCATGTCAAAATGATGTCAATTGTAATTTGTGATATGATGGATAAGAAAACATATGAATTTGTACAAAAATCATTTAAGATTTACTTTGATTTGAAAGTTTTAGAGATTAGAGATTAGGGTTAGGGTTTAGGGTTTATGATTTGGAATTTTTGATTTGTGTTTAAAATTGCAGGTTTATGAGTTATGATAATGATTAATTAGTTGTAATCATATGTTATATCATACTAATGCTATCAATTAAAATCCAAAATTTGATGTTGTAATGCTACTTTTAGAGTTGAGTGCATTGAATGCACTCATTTTTGTGAGTGCACCAAATAAGCCACCAATACCATAGACCATCGTCATGGTTCGTAGAAGCCCACAATTGACGATGTGGTATCCTGACTTCCCTGATCTTCATTAATTAGTTGGTGGCATGAAGTGAAAGCACACATTAGCTAATTAAATTCCTATCGCAAGAGACGTATGCATGGGGTAGGAAATGACCTTAGAGGAAGGGATAGAATGTAAACATAGCATCGATTCATATAGGAATATTGTTAAGGAGAAAGTATGCATGCTCGTCAAGATGTGTTAGCGAACTAACCACTTGGTCCAAATAACTCGAGTTGTTGGGAAAGGATTTGTTAACTTTTTAATCTCTTACAAGATGATACAGCCTGAACAACTTGTTTCTCTCTTGTTTACTCTTTTGTTTACCTTGCTTTTGATTTAGTCTATTCGAATTTTAGGGAACCTCAATCTATTGATTTTACTTTTTGTCATCTTAATCAATCAATTGAGCATCTAGTTTTGAGTAACTATCATTAAAATATCCTGTGAAATACGACCCTAGACCTATCTAGGTTTATAACTTATTTTTTCAGCATCAATCATCCATATTCGAAATGAGCCATTTGGAGCGAGACATCAACGACTTATGAGGCGACTGACAAAAACCAGTTGGTCCCAATAACACGAGTTGTTGGAAGAAGGTTATGTTGGATCTTATACCACTATCTAACACGCCCCCTCAAACGAAATCCAACTCATGGGCTTCAAGTAGGGGTGGGCATTCGTTCGGTTCGGTTTGAACCGAACCGGCATACCCCGAATTTCCGAACCACAGCTCCCCTAAACCGAATTCGAACCGAGCTATAATTCGGTTCGGTTTGGCCGAACGGAATTATAACTCGGTTTGGTTTTATACTCCAAACCGCAAATGTATAATCTGTCCATTTTTGGTCGCTGCATTTTTGGGCAATAGGCTGTTGGTCTTGGACTGGAGCTGGACGAAAAGGTAGAGGAGAGGAGGAGGGCTTGAGGCCTGAGCAGAGCAGTGAGCAGCAGCGGAGTGGGCTGGAGGTACACGGTTGGTTGGGCCGAGTGCCGAGTATTGGGCTGGGGCCGAGGTCGCTGGGGCGCTGCGCTGGGCAATGGGATTGGGTTGGGGCCTGGGGGCTTGGGAAAATTACAAATTTCGGAAAATTGGCCGGTTGGTTAGGTATTTCGGTTCAGTTCAAACGCGTCTGTTTTCCGAAATTCACCATATCAATTTCCGAATTTCGAACCTAATTGTATGTATTTTGGTTTCGGACGGTTTTTGTTCGGTTTGGTTCGGTAAAACCGAACCTAATGCCCACCCCTAGCTTGAAGTTTGCACAAGCGATCACCATACCCTGTGCTTTAATCAAAGGTTAATATTGGGGGTCATGGAGATTCGAACACACGACCACTTGGTCAAACCAGCTCTGATACCATGACATAAACCAGTTAGTCCTAATAACTCGGATTTATCATGGTTGCACTAATGTGAGCAAATGATAGACTTGTGGTGACTACTTAATAGTCAGACTTAATCAAATTTTTGAGAAGGCGATTATTGTGTTGATTTTGTTAAAAACTCGTCCCATTTAATTAAAAACAATTGTGGTGTTGACAATTTTTGGATCGGGTGGAGTTCTATTCGCTTTTGTAATTGACGGATTGAATCCCCACCCCGCACTAAAAGTGAGTTGAATCTAGTGTTGATGAGTTTTGGTTTGGGAGCAAAGCTTCTGTAATTAAAGTGTTGGGTGGGTGTGAATTTTGTTAAAACTCGGTCCGCTTAATCAAGATTTTAGTGTTATTACACTCTTATTGTATTTACTATCATGACAATTGAATCCAAACTCATGGATATTAAATATAATACGACCCGATCAAAGCAAGTCGAATACGATATTGACGAGTTTTTCATCATGAATGAGTTTTACCCGCTTTAATAATTGATGAGTTGAGTCGGGAAACTCAGCACACTTTCCATCCCAATCTACACCTTGTGAAAATACATTTCCATTGTAAGATGATATAATAAACAATATTTAGAACTATTATGTGATAAATAGATCATCCTAACTATCTATGGACGATCTCAAGTAACCAAATTCAGGCTCTCCGCGCCGCTCGGGCTTTCGTGGATGATATTGGGCTTCATCGCAGATGATTATTTCGCTCTTTGGGCCTGGGAAGGTTTAAAGTGTTGCGTTTCGTTTGGATGGATCCGCGACGAAGAAGCCGGTCGTCACTGGTCGAAGTTGACGGCCGGCAGTGAGACTTGGCCGGCCTGTATCTTTCAGATTTTGCCGTCGTCGCAGGCGAATGCTTCTTCAACTCTGGAGCTCTTAATTACGCATATGTAAACATGTAAATATGTGGCACATAACGAAAACTCAAGGCTTCCGAACGTAATAACTATATTTTATTTTATTATAATTAATCGTATCCTTAAAATTTAAATTAACTAACTGCGAGATCGAATAAAATTAAAGGGCGATACTTGGCTGCTGTCTGTGTTGCAGCCCATGGCTGCCACCTATTGACGTGGCACCATATCATTGGTTCAATGGATATTATTAAACTTATTTGGATTAGGAAGGGACGGAAACCGGACGGAAACTATTTCTTTTCTTGGACGGACGGAGAGCAGCCCAAACGGTGCTGCCTCTTTACATTTTTTTTATTATACTTTTTATATATTTTTTATTAATTGAAAAGGAGATAATAATATTAAACACTCATAGGCATAATTAGTAAATATTCCGTTTAATACACATATATGTATCCATACGTACTTTATTCATTTAAAAGTTTCGTATCCGTATTATTGTCAAGCCGTTTCTTTTTTGTTCGTTCATTTGATAGTTCCCGTATTAAACACGTATAAAACCCATATAATACGCTTAATATCCGTATTTAATGAATTAAATTATTAACTTTATTATTATTTATAAATTTATTTATTTTAAAAATAATTAATTTTATATATTTATGACTTTTAACTTACTATTAAACGTAACATTAACATAGAGACAGAGTAAAGTACTCGTACATATTTTATACATAACTTTCTCGTACCGTATTTTACTAACTATGCACAGAGGTGCAATAGTACTTGTTTTCCATCTTAATTAATAAATAATAAAATTGAATTTATATTTGTAACAATTGTGTGAATGATATATTGCTTATACAAAGGGTGTAGATTCCAAGTTTTCTCCCACTGAACTAATAATTGATTTTGGAAATTGATCATTGTTCATCACCTAAAATCAACCAATTGTTAAGATATGATTCACTCCGCATCATGGTTGTCATGCCGGTGGCATGCCACCCGGTTGAACCTGGTTCAACCTGTGCCGGTCATGAAACCGGCATGACACCACCGGTATGATCGGTATGATCGACTTACGCATTCTAAGAAAATGACATCATTTTAATGAATTTAATGAATAAAAATAATGACTTATTATTCATTTTATGAATGTAATAGTTAAAAGTTGATGATATTTGTTGGATTATAACTAAATTGTCCACAAATATATTTTATATATGATTAAATACATTGGATATTAATTATTTTCACATATTTTTAGACCGGCATGAACCGGCACAAACATGTTATACCACTGGTCGTACCATTCCACTTGCCAAACCGGTACAACGGTATAAACCGGTTTGACAACCTTGCTCCGCATATTATATCACTCCTCTCAATATTAGTTAAGCTGGAAAACAAGTACTAGTGCACTCTGTGTGTTTAATATTATTATCTCCTTTTCAATTAATAAAAAATATATAAAAAGTATAATAAAAAAATGTAAAGAGCTGCTCTCCGTCCGTCCAAGAAAAGAAATAGTTTCCGTCCGGTTTCCGTCCTTTCCTAATCCAAATAAGTTTAATAATATCCATTGAACCAATGATATGGTGCCACGTCAATAGGTATGGGCTGCAACCCAGACAGCAGCCAAGTATCGCCCAAAATTAAATACATCAGGTAACAGAAAAGGGGGAAAGATAAACACCGATCGGGCCCGGTCACCAGATCCCTCCGGGACACGCGTACGCTGTTTCTCGAAGCCGCCGTCGACTCGTTGCTGCGGTGATGGACTTGTGATCACCGGCCTGCTCCGTGCAGCTGCCGGTTCCGACGTCTCCATTCGGCTGCGGTCATGACCAGAAAAGTAAATGCTTTCATCCTTACATTGGAGCCGCAAAGTCTCTTCCACGTGACTCCAAAGTTCATCGAACGAATTGTCTTCACCGCCGTCGCGCTTATTCTTGGCTGCCGACATTTGTATGTCTCTGTTCACGACGGGGACGTTATATAGCCTTGAGCGCCGAAGGGATGCAGAATTTCACACAAAAGTAGTAACAGAGAACACAGTGATTAGCTTAGCTATATCTCTGCGGTTTGGTTCGTTTCCCTCTTATAATGAATCTCCAGTTTCGTTCGTGTATATATATATGAACGGGAGACTCTGTTTCCGTCTCCTAATCGGCCTGGGTTTTCCACTTTGACGCATTGCTAATTTTGTGTTACATACGAATTCGTTCCTAAACCAGTTGGGAAACTGTTTTCCTTTTCCGAGTAGCAACTTTGGACTAAAGGAGAAAAGGTGATGAATGCTGCTGATGATGCATCGTGTTCACAGTTGGGTGTGTAAGAATGGCAATTGCAAGCTGAAGTTGGGTGTGAGTGTGTTCATGTATAGGCGTTGACTGGACTAATTGAAATTGAGTGCAGAGGTGATAATTCAAGGAGAAATCCAAAAGGAGCAAAGAATGGCTGGTTTGAACAAGAATGAGTTTATGCACCGTTCCTACGATGGTACAAAACGTGCAATGGAGAGATTTATGGAAAATTGATTTTATAGCAGTAACATGATCGTGTGAAAATACCTTTTAACCGTGTTAGAAATATGAACGTCCTATAGATGAAGGCTAGCTCAGTTGGTGATTTGGTACACGCAAGGTTGTGTGAATGTAGATACTCTTACTCGTTGAGTTATAGCACGCAAAGGATAATTGTACTTCATTGACATTTAGGTTGACCATGGACGTCGAATTATTTGTTCCAAATTTGAATACAACTGAAGTGACAACCAACCTCATTATATTTTGTTATTCAAAGATAACTCGATTTTCATTCATCTTCACTCTAGACGCACTATTTTGATGGATGGTGTATGACCAATTTGGTTGTATTGGTAGTTTTTGAGGAGGCATGCCATACATTGTAGTGTCCCTATCCATATATATGTTTCTTTGCAATTGATCGAAAATAATATTTTGTTACTAATAATGGAGCTTCCTAGCAAAATACAGCACAAATTATAGGTAAAATAGAACTCATCGTCGTCTCCTTAGATCCTCGAACTGTTATGCATCGTAACTCGTAAGCAATGTACTATGTTAGCGTATTAAGGGCCTAGTGGCTGCCGATTATGTGATGATGACTTAGTGTGATAGATTCTTTAAGCCCACATTTAATTAGCCCATGCAGGCCCATGGGAAGTTGATTGTGTTAATCCCAAACCTAGGGCACGTCTATGTATAGGGTTGAGAGAGTGCAGCCATCTGTATCTTAAAAACATTCATTCATCGTCATAATAAAACAGCAGCCTGAAGAGCGTTCTAAACTCTTCCGTGGATTAGTCCTGGATCACGTCCAGGGATACCACGTAAACTCGTGTGCCGGTGTCAGTTTCAATTATGTATCGTATTAATCTGCTTCTGGTGGTTTCAACATGGTATCAGAGCTTACCGCGACTGATTCGGAGAGGCCAACTGTGAGCCTCACATCGACAAACTACGCGCTCTGGGAATTTCAGTTTAGGGTTTTCATTAAAGGAAAGCGATTATTGGGAATTTTGGAAGGAACTACTCTTCGACCTGCTGAAGCATCTGCTACTCCACAAGAAAAGGCGGCTTGGGACCAAAATGACGCCCGCATTCGCTCCTGGCTCCTAGGATATGTTGATCCTTCAACCTGCCTTACCCTCCGACTGTTCCCTACAGCCAACAGAATGTGGCGCCATCTATCGGGACTCTATTCCACTACCAGCGGGGAACGGCAATTTGAGGTGGAAATGGCACTCTCTCGCTTGACCCAGGGAGACAAGACAATCACTGAATATTTTAATTCAGCCTAGGAGTTATGGACAGAACAGGACATGTTCCATTTAGCACTGCGGCCTGGGGCTATGACGGACGAGATGATCGCTGAACGGCAGCAAACTCGAGTTATGCAGTTTCTCATGAGGTTGAGACCAGAATTTGAGAATATTCGAGCTAATATTCTGAATCGAGAACGGCTTTCATTTGATAGTGTGATCAGTAGTCTCGTACGCGAGGAGACACGCCTGCGGACCCAAGCACAGTTCGATATTCGACCGGGTGAAGGAGAAACGTTTGCTGAAGGCCGTGCTCACTTTACAAGGTCAGGTATGGGACAAAGCTCTCAAGTTCTTGCTATCACACGTCCTCAATTCCAAAATAGAGTTCCTAATTTTGAGTTGGAGTGTCATCATTGCCATGAAAAGGGGCATTTGGTAAAACATTGCCGTAGAAGGAATTACCGTGTGTACTGCAAAAGAACGGGACATATTGTTTTAGAGTGTCGCACCCGTGAACGTAACGCGGAAAGGTATGTGAGCAATCCTTCTTCGGCTGGAGGTGGACGCGGACAACAAAATAGGACATTTTGGCCTACTTATGTTGTGGAAACAGGAGAATCTAGTGGAACTACTTCTAGTGGTGTCTCGGCTACTCAGCTGGAGCAACTAGTGCAGGCCGTGGCAGCTTTGCAGAACTCTCTTCCCACTGCCATAGGATCCGCACTATCTAACCTGCAAGGTAAGATAAAATCCAAACCTTCGTTGATCGATTCGGATTGTTATAATCATATGACTAATGATAAGAACTCTCTTGGTAATATTAGATCAATTAGTCATGATGGTCTCCCTGTTGCTAATGGAGATAAATTGGCAGTAACAGGAGTTGGTCGAGTAGATACTCCCAACATTTCATTGTCACGTACCTTACTTGTTCCTGATTTGGTCCCTAATTTAGTTTCAGTAGGACAACTTACCGAGCAGGGATGCTCTGTTATGTTTGCACCTTCTGGCTGTGTTATACAGAACTTGAAGACGGGGAGGCTGACGGAAGGGGGAGTAAACAGGGGAGGATATTCCACTTGGAGGAGCTCCAAGACAGTTCGAGTCCATTTCTTTCTTCGAGTCAATCGTCTATGAGTCCGTCTGTGTCTAGGTCTATCAGTAGTCCTTCTCAATTTTTTGACATTCCGTCTGGTGTTGGTTCAATATTTTCTAGTTTATCGAATAAGGAGTGAGATCTTTGGCATGCTCGTCTAGGGCATCCCCACTCAGGTCGTCTTTCTGTCATGTTTAAACAATCTCTTTTAGGTCGGAATTGTGTTGGAATTCCTGCTGAACACTCTTGTACCAGTTGTGTGGAAGCAAAAACTACTACTAAATCTTTTCCTCCCAGCACTACTGTTATAAACGAGCCCTTTCACATAATTCATACTGATCTTTGGGGCCCTGCTCCTACTGTCTCTCGTCTTGGTTTTCGCTATTTTGCCTTGTTTATTGATCATGCTACCCGATACACCTGGATATATTTTCTCTGTCTAAAATCATATCTCCGTTCAGTGGCCATATAGTTTCTAAATATTATCCAAACTCAATTCAACAAAACTATCAAAATCATTCGTTTTGATCCTGGAGGAGAGTTTAGCTCAACTCCTTTGCATGATGTCTATCGTTCCCGTGGGATTCTCATCAAAATGTCTTGTACAGGGGTTTCACAACAAAACGGTCTAGTTGAACGAAAAAATAGACATGTTGTGGAACTTACTCGTGCATTACTTCTTGCTTCCTCCGTTCCTAGCAGGTTTTGGCCTAAGGCAGTAGTTACTGCAGTGAGACTAATCAACTATCAGATTACTCCTGTTTTACAGCAGAAGAGTCCTTACTACTGTCTCTATGGTCATCATCCTGATTATTCGTGGCTAAGGGTCTTCGGATGTTTCTGCTTTGTTCTTCTTCCTAAGCGTGAGCGTACTAAGTTGACATCTAAAACTGTCTGTTGTGTTTTCCTGGGGTACAGTAGTGTTCATAAAGTTTATCTTTGCTTTGATCCAAGTGATCAACGTATGAGAATAGCGTCCACATTGGTCTTTTTTGAACACCATCGTTATTTCCCTTCTAAATTGCTCACTGATATTGAATTTCCTGGTGGAACATCTTCTCTGCCCATTTTTTATGATGATCTGGACGATGAGCTTCCCATGTCCGATGATCCTGCTGATTATCCTCCCTCTCCGGATCTGTCCTCCACCACGACCAGCTCGCAGTCATCACCATCCTTGGCTTCCAGCAGCTCTCCCACACCATCAACAGCCGCGTCCTCACCAGAAATGCAGCTCCCTCCTCGCAAGTCAACCCGCTCAAACAAAGGTGTTCCTCCTCCTTATTTTGAAGATTATGTTGCTCATGGGGTAGATACCCTTGTCGTTCCTACTACTTTTAAAACAGGCTCAAGGTAATCCTATATGGGATCGAGCAATGCAAGAGGAGTTTGGTGCTCTGGAGGCTAACCGCACATGGACAGTGGTTGATCGTCCAGTTCCTTGTCCTCCTACCATTGGCTGTAGATGGGTATATGCTATCAAGGTTCTTCCCGATGGGACTATTGAACGTAACAAAGCTCGTCTCGTTGCACTTGGTTATACTTAGGAATATGGTGTGGATTACAACGAGACATTTGCTCCTGTTGCTAAAATGTCCACGGTTCGAACATTACTTGTAGTAGCAGCTCTATATAATTAGCTTCTTTATCATATGGATGTGAAGAATGCTTTCCTCCAAGGGGACTTGGAGGTGGTGATCTACATGGAACGACCACCAGGTTACACAGTTGGTCGTGAAGATCAAGTCTGTTTACTACATCGATCTCTTTATGGACTCAAACAGGCTCCACGAGCCTGGTTTGAGAAATTTCAGACTACTATTATTCAATTGGGTTTTCAACAGAGTCTCAATGACCTAGGGGTAGGCATTCGGTCGGTTCGGTTTCAACCGAACCGAAATTATGAATACCGGGTCCCCGAATTCTCCCAAACCTCAAACCGAATTCGAACCGAATTATAATTCGATTAGATTGGTTTAAACCGAATTATAATTCGGTTTGGTTCGGTTTTTCACACAAAACCGAATTTGTGAAGCTACTTGTATTTTCTCACTTTTAAATTATTTTTCACCCCTAATATAAACAATAAATATCAATTATATGCATTATCAATGATAAAACCAAACTTTTCAACACATAAGTCATAAAACATTTCAAATATTTAAGTCTAAAAACAACCACAAACATAAAAATCCACCATTTGGAGCTTGCAAT